TAAAAGTTGGGGATGCATTTTTGTGAAGCTTCTTAGTGTGTATGACAGAGAAAGTTATAAGCAGGAATGCCAGAATGTGCAGAATTGACTAGGGGTGGCCCGTATTTGTGAAGCCTGGGGTTATATCCTGAACTCAAAGTACCTCTCTATTGGAGCTTTACGATGGACCTATTTTCCCTACCTGATAGAGAAATGTTGGCTTGCACAGGGTCAGTAGGTAGTGAGTGATAGACACGAGGTTTGACCCAGGCAGTCTAGGCCATAGCTTTAACCACTAGTATACACTGCATGGGGCCTGCCTTGTAGCTCAGTTGGTAAAGAATCTGCCTGCAGTGCAGGACACCCAGGTTTGGTTCCTGGGTTGGGACGATCCCCTGGAGAAGGAAATGGCACCCCACTCCAGTATTGTTGCCTGGGAAATCCCATGGACAGAGGAGCCTGGCGGACTACAGTCCATGGGGTCACAAGTGTTGCACACGACTTAGCAACTAAACCACAAACATTGCATGACCTCAGTGTAGTATCAGTGATAAAAGTCAGTCTGGAAAGGACTTCTCTTGGGTGGCCTGGGCAAGCTGTCAGGGGTGTGCATTAGTGTTGAAGGCTTAGGATGGGGGAGATAGGTTGGAGCATAATCGAAGAAAAGGAGTTGGACCCAGGCAAGCCTGGCATCTTCCCAAGATGGGAAGAGCAGAGAAGGCTTGAGATGGGAAACCGAGGCCCTTGGGAGAGGGGAGCACCAAGCATCTCATATTGAAGTTGAAGCTCAACAGAGGGATGGGTTTTGATTGGTGGGGTTAAATCTGCAAGCAGGGATCTCTAATGGAATGGTGGCATTACCCACCCTGGTCACAGAGTCCTGGGTGCCTCGGCCAGGTCTGAGGAACCACATTCAGAAGGTTCAGTGACCAAGAGTAGCTACTTGATGGACTGGCGTCAGCAGCCTCCCCTTCAAGTCCCCCAGGTCAGAGAAGCAAGCCTTGATCTCTCTGCACAAAGCTTTGGTCTGTCACCTGCTCGGAAATCTCCTGGTCCATCTCAGTTGGCATTCTAGCTCTTGATAATTCCTAGGACCAAGCTCCCTAGGACCGGTCCTTTCACAGATGGGTGGGCCATAAAGAAGTATTCAGCTGGGGGCTGAACATCAGATGGACACGATGTTTTTGTTCCAATTAATGCTCTTATTTTTCTCTGGTGGGACTGTATTTTGGTGTTCTCTTTCCACATCTCACCCCTTTTAACACTTTACCATCTCCACTACTGATCACCACTCTTCTCAGTTTATACATTTCATTAATATATTACTTCCATCCTTTTTGGTCATTAATAAAGATGTTAAATAATTCTGAACCAAAATCTCACCACTGTAGGGCCCTACAAGGCACTTTCCTTTAATTAGTTGTGCTACCTTTCATCTCTCTAATGTCCTTTGGTTTCAGATTTCCAGCTGGTTTTTTTGAATCCATGTGACTTTTTATCCAGTCTCGTTTGAACTAATTTCACAAGTGAAAATCCGAGAAACGTTTTACTGAGTGTTGATTCAGGTCCAGGCCTACAGAGAGCTCTGCTGTATTCAAATTTTTTGGGAAACAGATTAATAGAGTACAATTTGGTCTTAATAAATTGAGTCTTCCTAATGTACCTCTTTCTAATATTCTTTTCAATCATAGTGGTAGTTTCTCCATTAACGTCATGGTAATTTGAATTGTGTTGATGTCAGGTTTCACAAAAGGTACTCTTCCTGTCAAGAATAATCCTCTTAGACCTTTCCAAAGATAACTAGTTCTTAGTGCTTGTGCTATTTCCAGGGTCTTATAATGACTTTGTTTTTAAAAAAATAAAATAACTGGGTATTCTGTAATCACCTAATTAACCAGTTTCTAATGTGCTTTTTTAAAATATCAAGTAGGCAGTGATTTAAACTCATGAGCAACCAGAGTTCCAAATATTTTATTAAATAGTTCAAAATTGTGCAGCCATTTAAAAATAACTCTCAAGCCTTTAAAATGTAACTGACAGGAAGTAGATTGTTCTGAGGTTAATTGTTGGGCAACCCAGGGCTCTAAGGGTTAGAGCCAATGGTATTTTGATTTGATAAATGGAAATCACTGGGCATAGAATGAGGGAGGAATCTCACTCCACAGGGCTGTAAGGAATAATCTTTTTGCATCAAGCTAGATTATGTTTTTAAATTAACCCCTTGTATGTGTCAGCTTATGGGACCTGCTACTTCATTTCAGGTTATGAATGAAGTCTTGATTCAAGTTCAGAAATAGAGCTAGAATGCTGAGTGTATGGCAAGATTATTCTTGGCCTTTTGTATGTACTGGATTTTTAAAGACTATTTATCAGTAAAAATAACAAGTGCTGTATTTCTAATTGTAGGCATATAGTACAGCCATATAGGTACACTTTTTTTTTTCTTGTATATCTGTGCTGTTTATTTAATGAGGTCTGCTTGGTAGCACTTTAACTCACTTATTAAAAGAGGTTCTCCAGGCAGACAAAGGACAGCTAATCTGACCCTCTTTGCAAGCAGATCTGAAGCATCTGCTTTCACAAGATAGACCAGGGCTAGATTCCATCCTAGACAGCCAAGGGAAACCTCTGTCAACAATAAGGTTTTAAAACAAAATCCTTTTGAAAGTAGCAGGACTGTCTCTACTCAGGGGGAAATAAAAAGTTAATCAGGTGACATGGCAGGTCCTCTGATGGTGTTTGTGGAGCTGTTTAAGGAACAAACTATAACCCCCTTTAGAAACTCTTTTTTAGGTTAGTTAGAAGACTCTCTTTTTAGCCTCTCCTGAAAGCAAAGAAGTAGCATTTACTTGGCGTGTTTGAAATTTCACTTGAGCAGACATCAACTGTCTAAGTAGAAGAAGTGAGAAGGGCTATCTGCAAAGAAACCCGGGAATCAGAGCTGAGTTGGATATAAATGTGAAGTCTGCATCGAGGTTTACCTAAAGCCTCTTGCTTCCCTAAGAAGACTGGACCCAGTAGTGCAGGGGTCTGCCAGATTTTTTTCTTCAAAAAGTCAGACAGTAAATATTTCAGGCTTTGCAAGCCATGTGATCTCTGTCGCAAAGACTAGGCTCTGCCATTATAGTGCAAACGCAGTGACAGACAATGCATAAATGATGGTGTGGCTGGGTTCCCAAAAAACTGTATTTATGGATGCTGAAATTTGAATTTCATGTGTTTACACATGTCATGGAATATTCTTCTTTTGACAATTTTCTTTTCATAGGCTGTCCAAGAACGAGCAGTGGACTGAATTTAACTTGCTCCAGGCAAATCTAGGAGTTTATTTTCTCCTGATCTAGTGCACCCAGAGGTCCTGTGTCCCCCACAGCACCTCGTGCCATCCCAGGGATCCTGTAGGTGTTTAACAAATACCTGTTCACTTAGCTGGCATCCTGTCAGAGCAAAGAGTAAGCCTTTTGCTATACAACACACACTTGACATTTGCGAGGGATTTATTTCCACGTCTTTGCTAATCCCCCCCATTCCAAGTACCACTCTTGCAGATAATTTCCCCCATAAAATGCAGTCAACTCTAACAGAATAATTAAAGTGACCCTCTCAGGACCTCTGTGATTCTATAAATACAGGACTGAAGTCCTTTACTAAGTGATTAAAATAAATTCTGCCACCGAAATCAATTCCCTGTCGCATTACATCATTGCTGTGATGACATTAACAATGAATTTACCTCAATCGGGAAAATCAATCCACAGTGATAATGAGTGACGGTGACTGTTCCACCGTATAGCACCTGTGTTTGTCAAGGAGCAGAATAATAAGACATCCTTTCAGCAGGGTGGGCACCACAGCAAGGCCATCCTGATGAGCGTCATACGAACAAAGGAGCAGTGGATCCTGGGGTGCTTGAAACAAGTGGCAGGCAGGTGCTGGACATGAACTCCCCCAGTGCCTTAAGTGGCTTCCTCCTAGACTTCATCCTCTAAGTGGATACACTCGGTATTTATGACTTAGCCAAACTCCACATGATTAAGCATCTCTGGACCTGGGGGTCATTTTCAAATATTAGGAGTGTGAGTATGAAAATTCACTCATACTAAAGATCTGCTGAGCTTTGTATGGGCTAGAATCTTAGAATCTTGCTCTGTTTGGTCCATATTATACAGGAATATAGACTTGCTGGAAATAGTCTACAAAACAACTACTAAATGAGCAAAAAGATAGACAGTCGCATCTGTAGAGAAAAGTGAAAGAGATCAAGATTGGTTTGTCTTTGAAAGGGAAAATGATTCTTGCCATCAAATAAAGGGTTTTTTTTTTTAAAGGGGAATTTGATTAGATGTTGCAAATAGAGAAGTAAGGTGCTTAAATCTACATGATATGGGGCCCCAGTTATTGGGTTATTCCAAGGGAAACTTTCCTGATAGAAAAAAGCCTGATAAAGCTTGTAATGGGTTCCAAGGAGGAGATGGTATGTACAAATGTGGAATAATAGTGGTTGGCTCCAGGAGTTTAGGCATCCAACTACTTGATATTAGGTGACTTCACTGGTTGGTTTCTTACTGAAACAAACAAACAAAAATAGGAACTGCTTTCTTGGTAATTGAAGTTATCCTGGATGACATTTATTCCAACTTAATGATGGATCTGTTGTTGACTACAGTCAGTGGGCGCCTCATCTTTTACTTCATTTTGTTACGTTGTGAGCCTCCAGAGACTGTGAGAACTCTAGTGATATCTCACTCTTCAGACAGAATGTCAGACTCTTCAACTGTATTTTCAACTGTCTTGTGAGACAAAGACTAATTGGTTTGACCTCATGCTGTCGCATGTTGAGAGACATGAATCTGCAGCACTCTTCCTTGAATACATTGATTTCATTAAACACTGTCTGCTTGTGTTTGCAAAATGTTGTAATTTCCCAGTGAGTTCTTCGAACGGCAGTGCATAAACAGATTTTTTGGAACAATGCCATTTCTTATCTTTGATCTTGTGTTTTAATCTTTTCTTTCCAATAGGTCTTCTCTGTTAAGTCCATTGAGCCACAGAAAATATCGACCTTAGGGAAAAGTAATGTGATCGTCACGGGAGCAAACTTTACCCAGGCATCGAACATCACAATGATCCTGAAAGGAACCAGTACTTGTGATAAGGATGTGTGAGTTGAAATATGAGTGATTTATTCTTGGTAACATACTGAAAAGCTAAAACCTATACCAAAGGAATAGCACTGAGATTATAATCTTTTTATGGTTAATTTCTTTCCATGTGCCAATGTGAGCCAGTTATTCTGTATATTTGATTTAACATGATTTCAAGAAGTAAAATAATTTAAGCATGACATTGAAGTTAGTTGTGGGAGAATCTGTGCCATGTAACCCCCAACACCTCAAAATACAGTAATTCCAGGATGCTGCCTATTGGGGTCCTGATTTGTTTTCATGAACAAAATCAAGTAATTTGAGGAACAGACATCATTTTGAAGATGATCCACTTATAAAAATAGTTGAGTACCTTAGAATTTTATGGGAAAATAGGGCCACTCTTCCAATGTATTACTGAAAGTTGAGAGGACATATTTTCTGATCTATTTTATTCTTTTGTAGCCTTCTCTGTATTGCAACTTCATGCATGCATTGGAGAAGGAAATGGCAACCCACTCCAGTATTCTTGCTTGGAGAATCCCACAGACAGCGGAGCCTGGTGGGCTGCCGTCTATGGGATCGCACAGAGTCGGACACGACTGCAGCGACTTAGCAGCAGCAGCAGCTGTATTGGATTGGTTTCAGGCTCAAATAACAACTAAATGAAACATCCATTAGTGTTAAAAAGAAGAAGAAAACACCCCAACACAAATATCTGTTCAATGATGTACCATGTGAACACCATTATTTCTATGACCTTTTTTCCCTAACACATTCTTTCAACGAAACTTTGAGAAAAGAAAGTCTCAGTATTTTACTAACACTCTTGTGTAAATGTTACTCTCCAAAATGAGGTAAAGTAATAATAACGTAATAAATCATTTGAGTTTTCTGCTTGTTAGTGTTTAGAGGTGTTGGCTAATTTAAAGTAAAAAGATGTTGCCATCTACATGATGTAGAATAGTGAGTTTGTTCTCACCATGGAAATGTGTCAAAGACAATCCACTGGAGCATGGTGTTTTGGTTCTTAACTACTAAAACAGATTTGTACAGCATTTTAATCTGCCACACTTATATACTGAATTCTTTGTTTTAATTCATTTGCTGCACCTAACCATCATCCCCTTATCCTCCTAGCGGTAAATTTGGGATGTCTGTCATTTTGATGGAAAAAGCTGCTCCTTAGGTGCTCTTCTTCTCTGTTCTGCTATTTACCAGAATTATCCAGCACACATTAGTGGCTGTATCTATGCGACATAGGTATTTTTGTACCGTTTATCCTGGCTAAATACCTCACTGCAAAAATCTTTCATTTTGTGTAGCGAAGTTAGACACCTGTGTGTTCACTGAAAGGCAATCAGCTTCACTGGAAAATAAGTCGTTTTTTAGAGCATTACCCTGTTTCTGACTCTTTATGCTCTCATTTCAATTCCGAGTGTGTCTTGAGATACTGCAGTTATTAAATTAAATGACTAAGAGAGACCTTTCTGCATGTAGCGTTTCAGTAACCACATCTGTGTAGTGAACCCAAGGTTCACGAGCAATAAACATAATACGCAGTTAATTCTGTATCAGAGTTCATGCCATAATCCTAACCTCTCTTAATACAGCATTTTTAAAATACCTAATTATTCCAAGGAGAAAAATATAAGAATAGCAATGGAATGATCCATATTTCTGCCTTTCTCCTTCCAAAATTGATAAACAAGTTTGAATTTTAATGATCAGCCAGTTTACAATGAGTTTCCTAGAGCTTTGCTCTGAATATAAAATCTTAGAATGAAAATTTGAGGACGTGTCAGTACAAACCAGCTCAAATATTTCTGAATTTGCCTTGTTGTTAGAATCTATTATTACTGCTTAAAGGCTATGGGCATTACAGTCAATAATCATGTACGAAGTCTTTAACAATAGTAGATTCTCATGTGGTATAATTATACTGAGCGTTATCCAGACACAACCCCATCTTCATGACTTGTGCTTTAGAGGCTCGTTGTAGATGTGATATACAGAGGAAGCTGCAGAGGGAATGCTCTAGAAGGCTTCGCTTTGACTCCCAAAGGGTGTTGAGGGCATGCCCTGCAGATTTCAAGAGCACCCAGGACAGTCCCAGCTAAATCCCTGTCTGGGGATTATCAGGAGCTCTGATGCTGGTTGATTCCAAGGCCCCTGGGCTCCTGGCATGGACTTTAGTATTGAACGCTTTGTTCTTTGAATGGCAGAATCCATCTCTGCCCAGCGTCGGGTTCTACCACACCTTCCCTACAAGTGCTTGATTGATTTTTCAAGCCTTTCATTATGGAAATTTCCAATCATACACAACAGAGAACCTCTTCGTATCCTCCAACTTCCAAATTCAACGTTTTACCAATCTTATTTCATCTATCTCCTCCACATTTTTGAGAGTGATGGAAAGTTAGTGGCTAGAGTTTGTAAGAGCATACCCCAGGATATCTCACTATATCCTTTAACTCATGATTACTTCAGTATGGATGTGTAGCAGATAAGGATGGTGCCATTAGCACACTCAAAATTAATGGCAATTGCTTAATATACTTTGATACCCAGTCCACTTTGCACCTCCTATTATATTAGGGCTTTTTAAAGGCAGTGGTTCCATTTCCTTCTCTCCCCACTTCTAAGGGAAATGCAAATAAAAACATAAAAATGCACAAAAGAAAAAGGAACTCAGATCCAGATAATACCCATGCTGGGTAAGTGGGCCCTGATTAATCAGTAGCTGCCTGTGGCTGTTCTGATAGTTTGGGAGCTGTTGCAGTTCAAATGAAATTCATATCCTGTCTCCTTGGGTAATCAACTATGCTAGGTATCTGTGTCACCGAAGAGCTCTCTTCTATCCCTTTATAGGATACAGGTTAGCCACGTGCTAAATGACACCCATATGCAATTCTCTCTTCCATCGAGCCGAAAAGAAATGAAGGATGTGTGTATCCAGTTCGATGGCGGGAACTGTGCTTCGGTGGGACCCTTGTCTTATATTGCCCTGCCCCACTGCTCGCTCATATATCCTGCTACCACCTGGATCAGGTACTTTCTAGAGTGTATTTTTTTCTTGCTGTGGTTAACAAGGCCATATGTATGAAGATCATGGATTTCACTCAAATAAGTATAGAAATGATTGTCATAACTTAATTTTCACAGACTTCCTCTTTAGGATTTATTCTTAGAAAACAAAGGCATACCTGAGAAATAGGTTGCCTCCCATCATCACAGTAAATACTGTGAGTATATCTTGTTTTATTCTTAGCTGTGGCTGCCAGGAAACTCACAGCTAAAATGTTTGTTGAAATTCTGGTTTCTCTTCAGATCATGTTTGTGTTTTTCAATGTTTGTTCAACTATAATAATTAAGCCTAGGTTTCTGATACAAATACATAATCCTCTTCACTACACTGCACTCCTGTGTATGACCCAAAGCTTCTTCCTTCTTACAGCCTTCATTTTATAACCTTTAGAGTAAGCTCTTTTGAATAATTTCAAGAAATATTGGGAACTATCTAAATGAGAAGCAGTGTCTAAATTTCAAAGATACTCCCTATTTGAGAAAAGGAAATTCCAAAGAAACTCTTGCAGATGACTCTGTTATATTAAGAAAAAAAATTCTCCCCCTAGTTGAATTTAAATTCACATTAAGATTTTGGAATATAAACCTAAAGATAGTTTCTCCACCTAACACAGCATGAAACTAACTTTCAAAGTACTGTCTAGGTAAAACTACAGATGAAGCTTTGTTTAAAAAAAAAGAAAAGAAAAATGAAAAAAAGAAATCACTTCTAATATTCTCATTTAAGATGAAGTGAGAGGTGGATATATTAGGCTGCTAGGGCCGCCATAACAAAGTACCACAGACTGGACTGCTTAAATGGCAGAAATGTATTTAATCAAAGTTCTGGAAGCTATGAGTCCAAGATCAAGGTGCTGTCAGGGTTGATTTATCCTGCAGCCTCTCTCCTAGGTTTGCAGAGGGCCATCCTCTCCCTGTGTCTTCACAATGGTCTTCCCTCTGTGCCTGACTGTGTTATAATCTCCTTTCTTTTTTTTTTTTTTTTTTAATAAGGACACCTGTCATATTGGATTGGGGCCCATTCTAATGACCTCATTTAACCTTAATTACCTCTTTCAGGGTCCTATCTCCAAATAGAGTCACGTGCTGAGGTCCTGGAGGTTGGGACTTCAGTTCCACTCCTAACAGTAGCATGAGGAAAGCTAACATTTCCAACCCAAGGCTCTCGCATGCTTCTCCCAGCCGTGGGTCTCAGTCCTTCCTATAAATAGGAGCAAACGGTCATGCAACACTCCCCATATGCCCCGGGTGTCAGATCTTTTGACTCAGGAAATCCTCACAAGTCTACGGGGTCCCCTGTGCGTAACCCTTTTGGCCAATGAGGAAACTGAGGTGTGGGGCATTCAGACAGCTTGCCCAGGCTCCCGGACAGTCTGGGCCAGGCTTGCTGTGATCTGTGCTTTCTTGCAAGGTAGGAGGTTTCCTAATGTCTCATCACCTGTGACAGTCTGAGCCAGTGTCTCTCGGTTACTCCTGGGCAAGAACACGGCTCTGCAGTCTGGCCATTGGCAGACCACGCTTGGCCTGGTTTTCTAGTAACGGTGACAGGCTGGCGTGAGGCCAGCTCGGCCTTCCCCCTGGTGGCTGGAAGGTTCAGGGCTTACTGCCTTCCCTCTGCCCTACACAGATTGGCCTTCTCGTGCCCACCTCCTGGTCTTGTCATCATGGGCTCGGCTGGCCGATGGAGCTGACCTGTCCAGGCTCCTGTCCCTTGGAATGAGTGTCTAGTGACCTATGTGAACAGGGGTGTGGGGGCCACCAGAGTTGTGGACAGCTGTTTATTTCACATCTAATGGCCATTTTGCTGAAATGCAATTATGTGCTAAGAATATGTGAAATCATTTGGCTTAGTTTTGGAGAGTTAGGACATAGCTGTTATTTATATGGTTTACCAAACAGGAATTTAGATTTGTCATGTCATTTATAATTTTACCTTGTCCAAAGTACTCCCTGTCTCCCTACATAAAATGTAATTGGTAGGTTGGGAGTTTGATTTTGAAAATTGTTAGATTAAATAGTCTTCATATAGATTAAACAGCAATCAAACAAAATTCTGTTTAGTGCAACCTTTTCCAAGGTGCAGCTGATGATCTAATTATATAGGGTAACATGATACAATAAAATTCAAAATTCTAGAAAAGAATCTGGGCATTTTCCTAGAGTTAAAACAGGATCCAACCTGAATTTTTACATTTATGTTTCTTAAAAAACTATGATCTGTGGCCAGTATCATGAAAGGACATAAAAATGTCATGCATTTGAAATTAAAATTTATTAATTTGCTTTCAAATATAACTGAGTTTAATATTATGAATAAAGTGATGGTTTTATTCATAAATGCAAAATGCCTGTATGTGTATCTATGAAACTCTTATTTTTTTCTTGCAGTGGTGGTCAAAATATAACCATCATGGGCAGAAATTTTGATGTAATTGACAACTTAATCTTTTCTCACGAGGTAAAAGGAAATGTAAGTCTTCTACTGCTTTGTAATAATAGTTATCTTCAAGGATGATTTTTGTTTTCATCACACTGAAATATTTGTTCTTCTTCAGTCACTAGTTATGTTTGATTCTTTGCGATCCCATGGACTGCAGCATTCCGGGCTTCCCTGTCCTTCGCTATCTCCTGGAGTTTGCTCAAACTCATGTCCATTGAGTCGATGATATGTTGGGAATACTTTTGGTTTCTGTGCTTTTGCGCTGTTATGAGGTTTTACCTGTTGCATGATATTACCATCTGTGCTATAATGGAAATAATAAGACCTCAGACTTGGAGCTGCAAGGTGTGGCATAGAGGGAAGAGGAATGAACTTGGAATGACAAGAGCTGCCCTCTTCTCCCTTTGTGATTGTGGCCAGTCATGTTAATGAGACTTATGAACACGTGTGACCATGCCTTCTGAGTGGCTGAGGTGTGATGTAAAGATGAGTGTTTCTGGAACAAGTAGGGGGTGGTGGTCCCACTGCCCTTAGCGTGCTGCTGTTCAGAGATGCAGTGACCTACTGAACCCCCAGAGAGCCTGTCATGTGCTTCTCCTCCCGCCCTGTGTCTCTCTGAACTGATTTGGCACCTTCCTTCTGACCTCACCCCCTCTTGCCCTTCATCTCCCTGCCCAGGGGTCTGGCCCCCATCCCCACTCAGCTCTTGCCCCAACACAAGTCACACACGGGCCTTGTCATGGGAATTGATGGATTTCAGAAGCAGGTGGGGGCCGCTGAGTGCACATATCAGTTCTTCGCGAATGCTCTCCTCATTCTCTCTTCCTCTTTCTGTTCTTCCTTCATGAGAGATGTGATAACAGCCTCTCGGAGGCCCGGTCAGACCACTTCCTGCCAAAGCTGACAGGCGTGCGAGTGGCCACAAACCTGGCCTCTGCTTGGGACCAGTGTGGCTTCTGGCCTAGATCCAGGAGGGCTTCCTAAGTCCTCCCAGAGCCTTGTCAGGATGCACATCCTTGTCCTGATACCCTTCAGAGCCAGTTCCAAGCCTCACATTGTATCTGACACCAGGTCACGTCTCCATGATGTCAACACCTCCTGTTGAGTGCTTTGTATAGGTTGACCCTCTGACCAGAGGCCTTGCTTGCATTTGTAAGTGAACTTGCTCTCCCTCCCAGTGCTGTCCCTGAATCAAGTAGAATTTATTGAGCACCTGCTGTGGGTAAAACATTTTCCCAGGTCCAGAGGACCAAAGAAATAAGAGAGTCATTGCCTTCATGGCGGGAGATGGCTATTTGACTGGGATGGAAAGCTGAGAGCACGGGGTATCGTTAACTTCTAGGTCTACTGACTCTCTTCTGGCTCAGACAGCCCACTGTGTATTTCTAAAGGAAAGGGTAATTAAAATTGGGCAGATTTCAGCAGGTCTGTGGTGTGGAACGTGATAGTAGGACTTGGGCACGTGGAAGCAGAGAGGGAATTTCAGGTACAGAGAAGACAAAGCTACTCAGAGGCCCCAGATGGGAATATCAGTGATATTCCAGCTCTGCTGGAACCAAGAGGATGGGTTGGGAATGAACCAGAGGGATGGCTGGAAAACCACATTGGGCCATAAGAAAGGATCAGACTGAAAACGTTGCCCTTAATTCTGTAGATGATGGAGAGGTATTGAAGATCTTTGAGCAGGGAGTGGTGTGAGGTAAGTGCCCTTTATGAGGATGAGTTTGGCAATGTTGCGTAGGATCATATGTGGAGGAGTAACTGAAAAAGGCCTGAGAGGTACCCGAGGATGCTCGTCCCAGTATCCAGGGATGCTCGGGAGATGGTGCAGCTAGAGATGACTGGTCATTTCTCTGGCATTCTCCTTGGAGGGAGTATGTGAATGACATCCTGGGAGTGAGGGTGGAGGGAAGGAAGAAAAGAGGGCCTGAGACGGGATCTTACAGAACGGCTTCATTTGAAGGTGTGAAAGAAAATAAGACAGCCAGTGAAGGTGGCCAAGAAGTTTCTTTGGAACTGCAGAAAAAGAGTACTTCAGATGAGGGGAGCTGGTCATAGGCATGGAAATCTAGAGAGTTGAGAATGATGAGGTTAGGGTGACCCTATCACCAGTCATCTTCCTGGAAGGTATCTTCAGCAAAGAGCCAGCCTGCTGGGGTTACGGCTGTTGAGAAGGGAGAGGCTGTGGGTTTTGTGGTTTTCTTCATGCTGCCAGAGACATGAAGGAGAAATTTGGGGCAGTCGTTTGGAAAGGGGCTTAAAGGGGAAGGGAAGTTTCACTCGTCCATGTCTCAGCGCTTTGCATCTGATTTTCTGACCTGTTGCTTCTTTCTACCCTCTTTTCAAAACTCCAATATTAGACAGCAAATAATAAAGAAGAAAACGCCCCACCTAGCAAATTTCATTTTGTGAGTTTTAGTTGCTCTTCTTTAGACTATTTGTCAACCTCCCCTCTCCCGGCAGCTTTCTCTGCCCATCTCTTTGTACTCCTGAAAATGACAGTATTTATGTTTACTTATTTGTTTTAAAGAAGCCAGTAAAGCTGTTGTTGTTTAGTCCCTAAATTGTGTCTGATTCTCTATAACCCCATGGACTGTAGCCTGCTAGGCTCCTCTGTCCATGGAATTCTCCAGGCAAGAATACCGGAGTGGGTTGCCATTTCCTCCTCTAGGGGATCTTCCCCACCCAGGACCCACGTCTCCCGCGTTGCAGGTGGGTTCTTTACCAATGAGCCTCCAGGGAAGCCCAAGTCTGTAGAGCAGGCCATCCTTTCTGCCTTGTTTCCCATCCTCGTGCTCTTTCTTTCATGGGGGCTGCATTGTCCCTTTTACTTTTGTTTTCCTCTATTTTTTTGCCAGACTTGCAAAGCATTTTCCTCCTGGTGGTTAGTGATTTCTGCTAAAGCACAGACATTACCCAACACAGGGAATTAAGCCAGCAGCATGCAGGCCAGCAGCTGGCCTTGCTGAGGGACCGGCTCCTCCCTTCCTGCAGTTTCCCAGGACTCAGCCTTGATGCCCTGAAGGACACACAGGCACACTGGTGCAAAGCCTTCCCCTTTCTCTCTCTGACTTCTTTCCAAGTACCCCTTTCCCCTCATTGTATTGTCTTCTGCTTTCATTATTACTGATAGTGTTAATAATCGTGTTAGCATTTGTTGAGGGCTTTTTTGCGTGAATGTGTAAGCATTTTCACATGGAGAGTCTCATTTAATTTAGTGAGCCCTCCTCTCATTTAGAGTTAATTCAACCCCTTGAGATGGGTAGTACTGTTATCCCCATTTACAGAGGAGAAAACAGAGGCACAAAGGGATTCAGTTGCCCAAGTCACTTAGTTCTTCAATCCCAGAGCTGAGATTCATTAATGAAGCTGTCAAAATGCTTTTTTCTTCTCCCTCAGGTCTCTGAATATTGTATGGCAAATTACTGCAGATTTTTAGCCCCCAATTTAAAGAGTTCAAAAGGGCCTACAAACGTCACTGTGAAGCTCAGAGTCCAGGAGACCGCCTTGGATTGTGGAAGCTTGCAGTACCTTGATGACCCCAGATTCACCGGGTATCGAGCTGAGTCTGAGGTGGACACAGAATTGGAAGTAAAAATTCAAGTATGTCTCTCTCATTCAAGGTGTGGCGGGGGGTGGGGGGATGGGGATGTGCTCCCCTCAACCAGAAAGATGTGTTATGTTTGTGAGTTTCCACATGTGCCCAGATTTCTTCATCTTGTTCTTCACAGAAAGAAAATGATAACTTCAACATTTCCAAGGAAGACATTGAAATTACTCTCTTCTATGGAAACAATAAATCATTAAATTGCAGCTTTGAAAATATTACTAGAAATCAAGATCTTACCACCATCTTTTGCAAAATTAAACACATCACTGCTGCAAACAGCATCGCCACCTCTTCCAAGAAAGTTCACGTAAGTCACCTGACAATCCTACCCATTAGTTTTACCTTATTTTACCTTATCAGAGATTCTGATAGCTTATGGTGAACAATGCCGGGTTCCTGATCTCCAAAGAAGAGGATTTAGCTTCAGGACCAGGAACTCAGCTTCAGACACTCAGAACTTCGTGTGGCAGAAATTTTATTACAGTGGAAAAGGGAAGGAGGAAGCTTCTGACATAGACATCAGAAGGGGGTGGAGAATTCCCCACTTGCTAGTCTTTTCAAAGTCTTGTATACTTTTTTAATTGGTTACTAACAATAGAAAGGTCTTAGCAGACCCACTCCCACAACATACATCTTTTTTTTCCCACAACATACATCTTAACATAGCAGGATTTGTTAAGAAGGAGAACCATGTCCTCTAGTAAGATACATTGTTGTTACATAATCATTAGTACAGAACTTAAGGAAAAACATACTCTTGAGCAAGATAAGTTGCTTTGTTGTGTAATCATTAGCTCTAGGCTTAAAAAAAGAATAACTTTCTTTAAGAAATAGATTGTTGCCATAACAACTCAGAGCTTAAGGGGGAAAAAAAGTCTTATATGTCTAAGATGAAGGAATGTAGAAAAAAAAAAGTTTGTCCTTTTCTCCTCCTTGAGGGTTCCAGACCCCTCTTTTCCTTGGGGGCCCTGGACTCCTTATCAACCTGTCTAAGAATTAACTCTCTCAATTCCTTGGCTAAACCAGAAGCCAGGATAGAATCTTTTAGGATCTTTGGGTCTTCACTTTAAGTGAAGATAAACAAAGCTGGTATCTCAGGCCCAAGCATTATTTCCCCAAAATAGCTTGCAGGATCCATCCATATGCCTCTTGGAATGGCAAAGCATTGAGCACACCATTGTTTATAATAATAATGTCTTGATAGCTTTTGTTCTAGCCATAGAACAGTCTTTTGTTCTAGACTGTAGCATCTGCAAGCAGAATCTCTAGACCCCATTGACAAATGAGCTGTCATTCTTTGCCTGAATGCAGAGGTGACATGTCTTAACAGAAACCCAGGATGGGGTCTCCTCAGCACACTGAAAGTGACCGTAGAGGCTGGTGGAGACCAGGTAGTCTATGGGTCATGGGCTGCTTCCTCCTCTGTGCAGTCACACTCACTGCATTTAATCTTTTCCCGGACGTGTTTGAGGGTCCCATCACCGGTATATTTATGTCCCACAATAAAGACATGAGACCATGGGGAAGGGAAACATATTGGAAACCTCCATTTTTAGTGTTCATGCCATATGAGGCTCTGCACGGTTTCTGTCCCTCCCAAAATGCTTTATCATCTAGAGTCATAAATAAACGGATAAAGGACAAGAAAAGAGAACATGAGACTGGAAGGCGAAACAAAAAATGTGTTCGTATCCCAGAGGCACCAGCTAATAGCTGTGTGACCATAGATAAGTTGGCTTTAACTGAGCTTCCCTTGGTCCATCAGTTGTATGGTAAAGAGGGTCATAATAATTATAAAATGAATAACAAGAGCTAAACCCACAAGTGCTCCCATGTGTCAAGTTAGTTAAAAAAGAGCAAACGCTAGCATTCTTCATTGTTCATGACTCATTCCTGAATGCCTGCACTGGGACATAGGGATGTAGCAGAGAAGAAAACAGAACCCCCCCCCCCAAAAAAGTCCACCTTTATGGAGCTTACCTAATGAGGCATGCAGTATAAAAAATAAATTGGAAGTGTGTTAGATGGTGGTAACTGTTGTAAAGAAAAGTGAAGCAGAAGGTAGGGGACAGTGTTGCAAGGTCTCTGCAGGTGAGCAGCAAAGGGCTGCCTCTAAAGATGACTTTTGGGGACTTCCCTGGTGGTCCCAGGTGGCACTAGTGGTAAAGAACTCACCTGCCAATGCAGGAGACATAAGAGACGCGGGTTCGATCCCTGGGTCGGGCACGTCCCCTGGAGGAGGGCATGGCAACTCACTCCAGTATTCTTGCCTGGAGAATCCCATGGACAGAGGAGCTGAGCAGGTTGCTGTTCATAGGGTCGCACAGAGTTGTACATGACTGAAGCGACTTAGCATGCATGCACATAGCTAACCTACCCAGCTATCCTACCTAGCTTGCCACCTTTTGTATCTTGGAGAAAACCATGTTGGGGGAAAAATGTGTTCCTCACCTCGACTGGGTCTAATGACACTCTTTGTGCTATTAGGTCAAGCTGGGAAACCTGAAGCTCTCTGTCGAACGGGAATCAGTTCTTTCCACCTGGTATTTT